AACTCCATCTTTTCAAACTCCAAAGTTAATTATCAGAAAAAGAAAAGAAAAAAGACCCATGAGCAAAGAAACATTACGATGTAAATGAATTCTGAATTTGTTCCTAAATATTGAAGTGTGTGTGTGTGTGTGTGTGTGTGTGTGTGTGTGTGTGTGTGTGTGTGTGTGTGTGTGTGTGAGTGTGTAGCACTCTGGCAGGAATGTTTTCACAGACTGAGCTCATAAGCTTCAACAAATGACTACCAATAGGACTTTTATTTTGAAACAATAGCGTTCGCAAACGTGCCAGATGCCTTTTTTCGAGTCAATTAACTGCGAGCGCTAACGGTGTTTACGTCAAATTGGAGATATAGGTTTGGCCTCATTATTTATGTATTTATGTATTTTTTTATAAAAGCCAAGTTAACCTGTATCAACTGTTTTAAAGACAAAGCGGTGACTTAGCTGCACATGCGCCGCGTGCTCTCTGTCCCCTCAAACATGCGCTGGATTCGAGCATCCTTGAATTCATAAATTGCGCGCAATCAGCTATCAGTCAAACTATCATTACAAAGAGCTTTAGTTAATGTTATTCACCCGTAGTGGCCTAATAAATGCATCATTAAATTTAAGTGAGCCTCGTAGTCATTTAGGAAGTAATTATGGGCTATATGGCAATTTTATAGATATTTGGAATGATATTGTGTATGACAATGTGCATGTAGGGTTAAGGCAGGGCTGTCACATGTATGTTACCATCTGTATCTTTTTCCAGAGGACTCCAGAGGCTAACTGGCTGTTTGTGTGAATAGTCATTAGGTATTGGGGCTGCTACTGAGTTAATATACACGACTGGGGGGGAGAAAAGCGTGAATACACACCAAAAGTGACATGAACACATGCAGCACGCTTTCAGAACCTTCGGTGTGTACCCCAGGTCTCCTCTATCTTGTGCGAGTAGCACAGGGGCCCAGGAAAAAAATACAAACAGTTCCAACACGGCGGGGTGAAAGGTGAAGAGAACCCTCCCCCCACCACTGTCCGCACATACTTCAGGCTCGGATTGCATGTAAAATCACATTCTCCCTCAGTGGTGGTGGTGTTGGGGGTGGTGGAGAGGAATTCATTGTTTTGGCATGGGGCAGTGGGTTTGTGTCATTAAAAAAAAGGTCTACGCGCTTACAAGTGCCTAAGCGTCCTTGACCAAGTGTCTCCGTAAAACTCAATGCAGAGAAAGTGAGATGGAGCTGCAGGAGGCGGCGCGGTTGCTTTGATGAGTGTTATTTTTTTTTAAAGCAGAAGAAGAAGAAAGAAAACGGATTACATAAAGTGTAAATTTTTATTTTCATTAATTATATTTTGAATTGAAATCACACACACAATTAATAATAAACCAGTCACGTGAAAAGTAGAGCAAAACACCGGGATGCAGACGTCATCACATGTGTTTATTGATTATATCTGCATAAGTGAGTAAAGTCCTTACCCATAATCGGTCTCGTTAAGCCTTGGACGTCCACGATGAAGTGACAATTGCAAAATATTATTGCTTAAAACTTATTTAATATTAACAACTGAAAAGGTTTAAATGGCAATGCTAAGCATGAGCCTTAACTGTGAGATTTAATCACGATCATTTCCCCACGCTTCCTCAGCACACAGAGGGGCTGCTGCATAGAAACCTTCACCGTACTTGAGAACTCTCTCCCCGCCACTCGGTCTTGCTTCCTCCCGCTGGTCCCCGGCCGACATCCAGGCGCAGTGGAGGGGGGAATAAGTGCCCTGTGGCATCTGTGCATGACAAAAGAGCCCCTGCTCTTAATTGGAAATACTCAGATTGGGGCAGATCTATACACACGCGGTAATACATTTAAATTTGTTTCATTGATTATTTGAATGTTGACTTGTTGTTAGATGTCTCCAAACTGACACTTTGGGGCGGTTAAGACATGAGGAGACGAAAATCCACCGACCTGAGGCTTTACAGATGGTGTGAAAGTGTTTTTATATATTTATTTAAAAATTATTATTTCTGATTATATTTAATACTCGCAGTTTAATAAATAATAACAAAGTATATAATAATAATAATAATAATAATAATAATAATAATAATAATACACCGATATAGGTGTGTGTGTGTGTGTGTGTGTGTGTGTGTCATTTTTACATTACTACATAGATGACGTGTCTGGAACAAAACCACAACTCTTTACAAATAAAGTGAGTAAAATCCGCGTGGTTGTTATCTCAAAAACGAACACACCGGTCTCTGTGCGTAGCAGCAGGATGGATTTCCGCTGCAGACCAGTCACATTCAGGGAAAAGCAACAAAACAAAGAGGATCGCTATGGAGTTTACGCAAGTTTGAATTGCTTGCGTTTTACGTGAGAACATTTGGCTATAAGCGATTAGAGGAAGTAGAAAGAAATAAAAAAAAAAGGGTCTAGTGTGCCAAATACAAGTAAACCCGGGTTGTCCAAAGGACAAGGCGTGCAGTGGTCAGAATGTCTGATGAATCAAGCCTCGACTATCCATTCTTTCCTGCATCTCCCTAGGCCGGCCACGGTGCACAGTGTCTCGGGGACGTGAGCTATTCCCCGGGGACCCGGACTTCAGCGAGCCCTCTCCTATCCCCCAACCCACCCACCCCCACCCCTCCCTTCACATCCGTGAAACTCCTCATGTTGCATGTATTAATGCTGTCATAGATAATCAGCAAGCGAGAGCGACTTTTTCTGTAAGAACACGTCAACGTGCGTATGTTGCATCTAAAGCAACCGCAAGGGTGCAGGTCAAATGACCCCCGTGCAGTGGAGCTGGACTTAAGGGAGCTAAAGAGATCGCGGGGGCTTCCAGTAAGACCCATTTTCAGTTATAGTTGCACAAAGGTATACAAAAAGACGGTTGCGTTGAGTTGCTCATCAGCTCACCAGCTAATATCCACATGCAATTGGTGCATTTAATGACAGTCTTCTGTGACTTATTAAACTAAAATATAGCCGACTTTATATTTACCCCCCCCGCGCGCGCACACACACACACACACACACAGAGGGTATTATATTTTTGATTATCTCCATGGCTGTATTTCGCACAGTCGGTGTAATGCAAGCTATGAAATGAAAAGGGAGCAAACATCGTTTAACACGCACGATCTTGTTCCTGAGTCCAGCAGCACTACGTTGGTGGTTACGCACCACAGTCCCGGTCCTGCAGGGATATTGTGGATATGATGTTCTTAATCATTCAAATATTTAAGGATCTATAATAACAACGCCTACACATGTGACACGCCGTTTGATGTAACACACTGGTAACATCGATGCTATTCAGCGCGCAGTGACAAGCCAGCAAATAAGCAAATAGGCTTAATATTTATGGAAACGAGTATGCCCAGTGCTGAGTTTGACCCCACCGCGCTGCAGCACCGGCAGCAGGAGCAGGAGGAACTGGTCACAAGGGACTCACGTGTTTTATAGATCACAAAGATGGAATATAACCCGGGGAGTATTGGAGAAAAAAATATGGCTCAGGGGCGAACATAATAGTCAGTCCATTCAGGCTAACTGTGGCCCGTTGCTATTTCAAACAATTAGTCCGTACTACAAGGTCACATTATTTGGTAACCCGTGTGTGTGTGTGTGTGTGTGTGTGTGTTTGGGCGGGGGTCCCATATCTGTGGCCGTGTGCGTGGAAAAAAGGTGTGCCGCTCTCAGATCCGCGGTGTTTTGTGTAGTTCTGCGCGTGCGTGCGCGTTCATTCTAATGAATTCTAATGTAGTTCGAGTGTGTGCGCGTATTTGCGTTTTTGACGCGCGTAAAGACAAACTGTGTATACTGTGCATTTTACAAGAAATACAAAGAAATCTCTAGAAACAAAAGGTGTTCGTTTTTTAATGAATAATCTCACAAAAGTCAGGGTGCACGCCCTCCCCCTCAAATAAGCTACTTGTTGATGGAAACATAACCAAAGCACATATTCGTGACGCAACAGCCTATTGCGTATTTAAAATGAAAATACGCAAAATTTATAGAATGATATCTTTCATAAGTGCTTCTATGTGCCTTGTTGAAAAACTAATTAAAATGGATCCGGTTTTGAAGAGTTATTATCAGTGTTAATATTACAAAACAAGGATTCTTAAATCATGTTGGAAAAGCAGCCCCGACCTGGCACTGTGATCACGCTCAAAAATCACGGTTCACATTTAAATACGGTACAATTTCACAGGAATTGCGTGACTCCGCAAAATTCACACGCACGCAGCTTAGACGGTTTAAATGGCTTCTGAAACGCTGGGAGCGCCGGTTCGTTTATTACGGTATCACCAGGCGGATGGACGCGAGCCTATGTGGTCTCAGCTGATAAGTAGGTCAGTCTATAGAAGGCCTACAACCTTGGGGAAGAAAAATCAGGAGAAAAGGCTCGAGCACGCTAAAGCAGTTAAGTTTGATGTTTACTGGTCAGGGGGGAAAGCAGTGAGGGGGAAAAAAAGAGGCAAATTTCTTTGTTTAAGCAGCACGTCCGTAACGCACATCAGCCCGACTAACATAGCACGTGCTGACTGGAGTCATTTTTACCAACATGCAATCGATTGCATGCTACGGTTACATACATTCTGATGACGTCCGCGGGGGGAATTAGCACGATACATCCCGTCCTGTCATGATTATTTTCCGGTTCGGACTACTTACACCGGCTCTACACAAACTCAGCACTGGGCTGGATTTTCTGCAGCTCTTTATTTAGCTATCGAGGAAAAAATGTCACAACAGCATTATTTACTCAGACGGCGGAGACTGTGGGCACAGTTGTAAACTATTGTAATGGCAGGGTGCTGGAGGGGTAGGTGGGCGGGTGGGTGGGGATGGAATATCCATTTTTATTGCATCACCTGTCAGCGGCGTCCAATGGGCGTCGACTCCAGGGGCATTAATTGATGAAGGTGTCTCCAGACAGGCCCACCTCCTCTCTCTCTTCCTCTCTCTCTCTCCCTGTCATTTTATTTGTGGCTCAACCAGCATCCAGAATAGCAGCTGCATTTTAGCTCTTTCTGTTTCTCTCTGGATCTGATTCTCTCTCTCTCATTCTGCTTTCCCCCCACCCTCACAACCCCCTCTCTCCCTCCCTTTCTGTCGCTCTCTCTCCCTCCCTCCCTCTCTCTCTCTCTTCTAGCTATTTTATCCCTCTGGCTGAGGCAGTGGTGTACACCTACCCCTCGTCCTGCTGCCGACCAGAGGGGAGTGGAGTCGGCAGAGGCAGGTAGCAGCCCCGGCTTGGTGGACGCATCCGTCGCATTCCTCCACCACCATGCCGGACCCGGGGCAAGAAGCAAGGAGTGGATGCTGTCGGCTCATTCAATCTATTAGACAGGGGCAGCTCCATTTAACTCCGCATGTCAAAGTTTGCATTTTCATTACGCAGCAGTGTGGCTGGATTATAGGTGTGAGCAGGATGCCTTGAGCTCGCTAACCTATGCCACTCACTGGTGAATCCACAGTATACTGAGGCTGACTACATGGAGTAATAGATTCTAGTGGATACACACAAATCATGGGAGACCTGGAGTGTGGCTTTGAGGAAATGCAAGGAGTGAGGCTGGGATACCTGCTCATCCAAGGCAAGCAAATGTTTGCTTTGTCCCAGGTCTTCACCGACCTGCTGAAGAACATCCCTCGGACCACGGTGCACAAGCGCATGGACTACCTGAAAGTGAAGAAGCACCAGTGCGACCTGGAAGAGCTACGGAAGCTCAAAGCAATAAACTCTATAGCTTTCCACGCTGCCAAATGCACTCTCATATCGCGGGAGGACGTGGAGGCTCTGTATTTCTCCTGCAAGACGGAGCGGGTGTTGAAGTCCAACAAAAGGAAAGCGAAAGCGGCGTGCTCCCCCGGGGATGAGGACGAGTCCTCGGGGTTCCTCCGTGCTGACGGCGAGCTGTGGAGGGAAAAAGTTTGGTTTAGTTTGCAGCACGGCGTCCCGGAGACTCTCACACTCCACGGCAAAGTGGGCAGGAAGAGGGAGCTGACTCCTTGCCTTACCGACTCCAAACTACCTCAGTTTTATCACAAAACGCACGGGCGGGATTGCCGTTCGGCGACCAAGTCCAGTTACAAACACTTTAAAAACTATGAAACAGCGAAAATAACAGGGAACCGCGTCACTTTGAGCCAAAGGCACTCGTTTTTCCGGAGCGCGGTGAGCCGGCAGCCGGTGGTGCTTCAGTCCGCCATAGCTGCTCAGTCCAGGCTCTCTCGCTCAGCCGGCGACCTACTTCACAAAAGGAAGAGGAGGCGCGAGGGGGGCGGCGGGAGGGACAGCGCGAGGCACTCGTGGAGCAGAAGCAGGCACGCGCACCACCACGCACCGCCGGTGCTGCTTGTGCAACCCAAATCGTCTGGAAGTCACGGGACTTCTTTCGGTGCTTTTCACCTCGGTCCAGATTTTTATCTCGACCCCCGACCCCACCACCATCACCACCACCAACATCATCATCATCACCACCACCACCACCACGAGCCAACTTTCCCGGAGAGTTACAGCAGCGACACCGAGTCCAGCACCTACTCGGAACGGGCTTACCCCGACTGGGACTTCGGCTCTGGCTTTTCCACCAGCAGCAACTCCGCCAGTTCGGAAGAAGAAGAGGACGGCGAGGAAGAAGATGACACTCAGTCGGAGAGTTCAGAGGTCAGCTCAGAGGAGGAGGAGGAGGAGGAAGAGAGCTCCTCTCAGTCCGACTCCAGCTCAGTTTCGAGCCGTGTTTCGGTTCAGAGCATCCGATTCAGACGGGCGCGGGTCGGATCGCTTGCCAAAAGTCTCAACACCAGCAAAGCACCTTTGGTCCTGCAGCCTACGTTTCACTATAACAACCCAGTGCAGCACGAAAAAGAGCACAAGACCCTCGGACATGTTGCTGCTTCGCAATCACGGGACAGGAGACAGGACAAACTTCAGAAATGTGAATTCACATGCAGAGAGACAGAGCAGGACTCGGGACCCTCGCAGCCCCAAAACTTTAACTCAGCTTCTGTGGGGGAGAGCTTTTTCAGCGAGTCTAAAAGGGAAAATCCCGACCAGGCCGACACTGTGGATGAGCTCATCACATATTCACCGGGACCCAACCGGAATAAGGCCTCTCACCCTTCACGCAGGACACAGGGGCATCCCATGAAATGCCCCCCGGGACTGAGGGCTCAGTATGACCACAAGAAAGAGGCCAAGCAGACCCAGAAATGTGTGGACAAGAGGGATGCGAAAGCGATCGCCAGCCCAAGTCAACCCACTCCACTGAAAAAAATAAAGACCGAGTCGGAGGAGCCCTCTGTGACCGCCACCTCCTCTTCGGACAGGACAGTCAGGACGCCGCCGTTCAGTCTCCACAATGTGAAAGTTAAAGTGGAGGATAGCTGTGATGAGTATGAATACCAGAGCCAGGCCACTGTAGCTAAATGCAAAGGAGATAAAACAGAGAGCAACAATGGCCACTATCCCAGCGGAGCCATAAAACAAGGAGATTTTTCCAACAGTGGGATTAAAGCCACAGAGAAGAGCCTCGATGTGGCCCTCAGGTCCCCCTGTGGTCCTCAGGAATGCAGGAGTAGTCAAGACGCCCCGTGTATCGAGGAGGGGGAGCACAGGCACAAAAACTGCAGGGCTCCGGTGCAGGGGAGTAAGAAACCCAGAGTTTCCAGGACGCAAACAAAACAAAACCTATCCAGGGTCCACAAGGCGGCCTCGTCTTCGTCGTCGTCGTCCTCCTCTTCTTCTTCTTCTTCTTGTTCTCATCCCGTGGGGCGCGAGGAGGCATCCACGGAGGATTTACCGAGCAGACGCAAACGCAGCAACGTGAACACTGTAGCATCGCCTGCAAAAATGCCTTTCAGCCTAATGGCAAATTTCCCATCCCCGCCGTCGCTGATTGTTGGCAGCGACGGGGATTTGTGCCCCGCTTACTCCCTGAACTCGCTGAGGGGCCCCGGGCCTCCCCCTCCGTCCCACCCCGTGTGGAGGTGGCAGCCAGGCGGCCAGATTCTCCCTCCCCCACACGTTCACAGAACTAGGAAATAGACGGCGGAGCTGTTTTTTAAAGCAAAAAAAAAAAAGCCCTGAAAAAGCCCTCACCATTTCCAACCCAAACGTAGCCCGAGTCTTAACCTGTGCGCACCGAAATGCTCGCAACTTTATCGGTGTTGTTTCTTTTCTGTCCCCCTTTTTCTCTCCTGAGAATGGATTTACATTCCGCTTTGTTTTCAAGCTCGATCGAGGAAAACCCACAAGATTCCCCCCTTTTCGGAGCCTCTGAAAACGCCCACAGGACTGTGAGACACCGCTCGTGGATATAAGATTTTTTTAAAAAAACTTGTGTTAAAATAAGCTATCCTAAGCAATATCTATTCTCAATGGTGTGTTCACGCGACTGTATGTGTGTGTGTGTGTGTGTGTGTGTG